TGATACTCTGATACTATATCATATAAAAAAGTGTCGGTGTATGACATGAATTCGAATACCGTATTTATTGTATTAATTGACTGCGCGTAAATAGTATTAAAGCTGATTTCATCCATGTTGGGAATTTTTTCATCGAAAATTACCAACATTACCCACAGAAAGATGTACGCTTTGGTGACGATGATTTGTTTAATCAACTTGTGGTAACTAAGGTGTCCGAACGGTTTCGATATCCATTGGCGGTTTTTGATGTATTCCTTGGTTTTATTCACTTCGACTGCGTGCCGTTTTATCGTTGGCCTCCATTCTACGGCTGAGCCGGTTATTTGACTAAACAATAATTCTTGTTCATCCCATAACGGTTTTAGATACAAATATTCGATCGATATGCTATGCATGGCGTTATACGCAATAGTCATAGTCGCACGAAGTTTTTGAAAGATGCCAATTGATACATTGGAATTTTTCAACACTAAATCAGACTCTGTTCTATTTCTAGGAAGGTATTTATTATCCTTGCAATTTTTTATGAAATTTGTAATACCGCTTTGTAATTCATCTTCTGCGAAAAGAGGATCCCCAAAGAAATTTCTGTTGCTCTCGTATTCAATGATCGCCATGATTTTTAAATAATAACTCCAAAACCATTTACCCGCTTTTGCTTGGCTTAATTGAAACATCAAGACCATAAGACCTGCTTCTTCTTTTAACACGGTTAATTTATCTTTTGCAACTTCTATAGATCCGCCACTCTGCAAGCCTTCCAGAATATTCGACAAGTACGCCAGTTTCGTTTTCACGATTACTGAGCAAGTACATTTAATGTCTTCGATTTTCTTGTCAAATTTATCAAACGCCGTATTGCGGCCTTTGGTGTCGTTGTAAGTCCGAATAGGAGTTGTTATGGTTATAATTTCTTTTTCAATAATTTTGATTTCCCGCTCATTGTAGGTTATCAAATTATTTACTGTATTAACGTATGGAAGAGTGAATGCTTGATTGACGTAATATGACGGCGAAATCTAAAAAATAAAATAAAATATATGTTCTTATAATATATGTATATATAAATTAAATTTTGCTTTTTTGTTAAATTTTGTCGCAATACGTATAAAGTATGTAAGCATAAGCGAAGAGAAGTTCAATGGTTTAATAAAACCCAAAAAATCAATGTATAGATTAAAACAGTACTATTGATTAATACATAAAGATTAAATAAATATCAATTGTCACGTAGAGTAAAAAAAGCAGTGAATCATAAACACGTTATATAAGTTATACATTATTTTATTTTTGTAACACTTATGGTGAAGTCGTTAGAAACATTTTGTTTCACTCGAATATGAAAAACAATCAATTTATCATCAGACGGTCATACTGTTTTTTGCGCGCCATTTATAGAGCCCTATATTTAATTATTTTGTTACAGCCTCGAGTGAACAATCTTTTTTAACATTATTGTGTAGTCGTGTATAGGTCGTTCTTTGTTCGTGAACGTATTAAGTTAGTTTTATGCACGTTTAAACCTGTACAAATGAAGTGGATTTTATAGTATTTGTTATTTATTAGTACTTCTTATGTACTTATTTTACAAAACGTTTCTACCTCAGAAAATCACTTTATTACAGTCATTACAGTTATAAATCAAATAAATTATATCACAACAAAAACACTTCACATTGTTATAAAAATGGCTAGGTAAAAACTAGTACTGAGTTCTCAAAACATACTAGGGTCACTTTAAATAGATGTCCATAAATATGTTGTAATGATTTGATACATTTTGAGACTAATGATGTGTAGAGGCATATAAAATAAATATACCTTATAAATTTCAACTCGAAATTTATTTGAATCAGTAAAATTTGAATCATTAAAACTCGTATGTTTTCTTTTGCCCCCCCTCCCGAAAGTACCGACAAGATGAAATTTGTGATTTATGGAGTTGCTACTAGAAAGAATTTGTTCAGAATAAAAAAAGTTACAATGAACAAAGACACAAAAAAATCACACCATTAAAAAACTAATAGCATCGTTGATCCACGTCGACTACTAAAACAAAATAAATAGTAACCAATACAATAAATATATTATATTACTATTCATACATTTACGTTTGTAAAATAAAATATTGAAATATGAAATTCGTTAACAATACAGTTTTTTTTATAGTCATTTTCTACCTCAGAAAATCACTTCATCACGGTCATTACTGTTATATTACAATAGTTTAGCAAAAACATTTTTTTTTTTTTAGTGTAAGAAAGGCTAAAAACGTTGATTTATATAGTGCTTTTCTTATTTTAGGCGTACTAAACGTTAAGAATACAAATCCTTATAAAAATATTTATGCCAAGTATAGTACTAAAACATTGAGAAATATTTTCGGTTTACTTAACTTAACTCAATACAATATGACATTTAAACTTTATGGTGCTAAAAGAATATTTTTTTTTACCTAGCCCTTATACACGGAATCAAGTAGAGGGTTTTGGTTGCGATAGATGTATATTATGCTAAACTATGAGTTTGTAAAACTTTTAATATTGTGGAAAACAAAATACGCTTACTTTTTTTGTTGATTCAACCATCATAAATTTGATTGATAGTATAAAATATAATGACAAAACAATACAGTTGTGTGTGGTCATTTTTAAAAAGTTTTACTACTTAAGTGCAACCAGTCAAAATGGAATTGTGATAATGTACCTGAATTATTGAAGTGCTAGGAAAAACGGTTTACATTGGTAACCAAATTTTGATTTAGACACTTGAAACATCTTTAGCAAACAATTTTGTTTGTTTAACGTATTTATAAGTTATAATTGTATGATAAAATCCAGACAAAATAAAAATAGTCTAGTTTACATATCGTGACTTATGGCATTTACCTCATACTTAGACATATATAGTTCGAAATAAAACAATTGAACAAATCGATTTTTCTTCGTATTTTTAAAGTTTTTAAATTGCTTAGTCTTAGTCATTCAACGAAAATGGTCATATGCGTAGAATAAGGGCTAGAGGGCTATAGACCTCCCAGACTTTTCTTTAGACCTCACCCCACATGAAAATACACCAGTTCCCTATGTTCATGATTGGAAGAGGGAAAATGATTTTTTTGTTTTTTTCATAAACAACACACTCATAAAATAAATGACGTCACAGTCTTGGTAAACAATACAAAATTAAATAAAAGTAAACTATTTTTAATTTTATATTGATTTGCCTGTTTTCACTATAACACATATGAGGCGCTTAGAACACTAGGGGTGTAAGTGACATTTATAAGAAATCTGACCACAGCTAAGCTACAAGTTGTCCATTTTATTTGGCGGTAAAGATATATAAGTGAATTATTCATTATTTGCTGCGATCTGGTAGCAAATCATCTACCCCCCAAACGAAAACGCCATATGGATGTTAACTTTGAGCTTGATTTTCTCGATATCAATAAAATGTAACTTGTACCCCTAGTATTTTAGGCACCTTATATATATATATATATATATTATATATATATATATATATATATATATATATATATATATATATATATCGGGTGATTGGTTAACTATAGCTCAGTCAATAACTTATATATTGGATAGATATTAGAAGATACTAGATAAAATGTTGTTTCGGAGAGTTATTAAACGCTCCCCCGTGCCATATTAAAATGCCACTTATCGATTTTCGTGACTTTTTCAATACTTCACATACTCTCCAGAACATCGAAATGGCTATACTATCGATCACGTTCATAATCCGGATAAAGGCCTCGACATATCGTGACTCATGACATAGAGGCCTCGACGTATATGTATTGTGTAACCAATAATAACAATTTCAAAGAAAAATTATCACCAAGATATGTATGGTCTTTTTAATATAAAAGGTATAAGTTCTTAGTTTTTTGATTCATTAATTAAAAATTAGTTTTGAGTGAAGAAGTGAACATGAATTGTTTTGTATAAAAGATACTAGGTATTCAACATGACAGTTAATTAAATGGTAATAAATGTATTTCCTTAACTATTTAAATAAATTGAGAACATACTATTTTTGTGATAACTGAACAATTTTTCATATGAATGTAATGAAGCTTTCGTGGATTAAATTTATCGTCCGCATAATACTTTTAAATGTTATAAAATATCTCACAAAAAATAAAAATGACAAAAACATTTTTTTTCAACAACATTTACAATAAGTAATAAATGATTAAATTTGGCTATTTTATGACAAAAATACGCTTATAAAAATGTGTTCATGTATCATGTAAATATGGCCTTAGACATTCAACGAATACGTTCATAGTCGTAAAACGGGTGCTAAACAACACAATTAAAAAAAAAAAAAAACATATTTTAATAAAACAAATTCCTATATAAATTGAAAACGTACTAATTTTCTGATTACTGAAGAACCTTTTAAAGTTATAATATACGAAACAAAAAAGAAAATTGGCAGAAATATTGGTGAAGGTTCATACATATATTTTTGCCGGACATGCAGAGAGCATAGGTATGCTATCAAAGGCAAAAATAACCAAACATTGTACTTAAAAAATACAATGTATCGAAGCTAAAAGAGCTTAAAATGTATCTGCTAAGCTTTTTGGTCAGTTTTTTTTTATAAATTACATGCAATAGAAATGTAATGAAAAAAAAACAGAATTAGTTGAGCAATTACATCGTTATTAAAATATTTGGAATAGAAAAAAACAGAAGTAAATTAAAAAAATAACAATAGCTTTAGTTAAAAAGACAAAAATAATTAAACAAATTTAATTAATATAGTTTAGATTATCAAAAAAAATTAATTAATTAGATTTAATAAATTAATCAACTATAAATAGTCATTAAATTGTATGAAATCGTTCAGGAAAACGCTAAAAGTTTTCTATTGCATGCAAGCTGGATTACTTTTACAGAGTATACTTTTTATGCTTAAATGAGACTTTCTGTATGTAATTTTATAACAATAAAACCTTAAATATGTAAATAAAAAATAAGATTTGTATTTTAGATAAAATTTGAAAATCATGACAATAAAATGTGCACAGTACATAACATGTGCAAAGTTAAATACATAATTTGGATATTTTCCTTTACTACATCAATTTCTTACACCCAACAAATAACTTATAAAAACAATATTAAAATAATCATTATGTATATTAGATAATATGATTTTTGTGGTTTAGATAAAATTTAAAAAAAATCATTAGACATATTATACAAAGAAAGTAATGAAAATAATAAAGAACCCGAAAAAGATTTAGAGGATTTAATAGAAGTGGAAATGAATGACCAAATAGGATTTGACTGACCAACTGACCAAGATACATTATTTGGTCATTATCCCCAATATCATCAATTTCCTTCGACCAGAATATTTAATGCAAGCTCATAGTTCAAAATCGTTAACTTTTCATTTAACTGACTAAAGTTGTTGCTCAATTCTTGAAGAAATTCCATTATCATATCATAGGTAAAGTCTCCGTTTATATTAACACTGATCCAATCGCTTCCATTTGAACTTCTCCCATTCAACTCAACAAGAATGTCTTTAACTCTCTTCGATATTCCAGCTATAATGCTATCAAAATTTAATGGGTTTTCGTGCATTGCACCCTTAATTCCTGCAACTAACTCAAAAAACAAAGATTCGGTATAGTGCATACATTTTTGTAATTTAATAATTGTCTGATTTGCCTCCATGTTTATAATTTTTAAGCGGAACAGATCTAATTGAGGCATTTCTTTGTTGAATATTACCAACATTACCCACAGAACGGTGTAAATCCTCACACTGATAATTTGTTTAATCAACTTGTGGTAACTAAGGTGTCCGAACGGCTTTGATACCCATTCGCGGGTTTTAATGTATTCTTTGGTTTTGCTCACTTCGTCTGCGTGGCGTCTTATTGTTGGCCTCCATTCTACGGTTGAGCCTGTTATTTCCCCAAACAATAACTCGTGATCATCCCACAACGGTTTTAGATACAAATATTCAATCGATATGTATTGCATGACGTTAGCATAATGTACAGCAATAATTTCAGACACACGAAGTTTTTGAAAGATGTTATTTGGTACATTGGGAATTTTCGACACCAAATCATACTCTGGTTTATTTTTGGGAAGATAATAGTTAATCTTGCAGTATTGTAAAAAATGTGAAATACCGCTTTGTAATTCCTCTTCTCCGAATGGAGTTTCGGCAAATAAATGTTTGTTGCTTTCGTATTCTATTATTGCCATGATTTTGAAATAATAACTCCAAAACCACTTACCTGCTTTGACATTGCCTTTTTGAAACAACAGGATCATAAGACCCGCTTCTTCTTTTAATTCGATTAATTTATCTTTTGCAACTTCTATAGCGCCGCCATTTTGCAAGCCTTCCAGAATATTGGACAAGTACGCCAGTTTCGTTTTCACGATTAATGAGCAAGTACATTTAATATCTTTTATTTTCTTGTCAAATTTATTAAAAACTTTATTGCGGTCTTTAGTGTCTTTATAAGTCTGAATAGGGGTTGTCAGAATTGTACGTTCTTTATCGCTAATTTTGATTTCTCTCTCATTATAGGTTATTAAACTATTCACAGTATTAACGTATGAATGAGTGAATGTTTTATTGACGTAATATGAAGGCGAAACCTATTAAAAAAAATATGCACTTACATAAAATTATATTCATAATTCTCTTTTTTGGTATATTTCATTTATGTGTTCCTATCAACATTTTAAACTTTATTGCTCAAGTACATAAATGTTTTACTAATATTTTATAAAAATAATATTTTACTAAAAATGTTGATTTACTATTATTTTTTAATAGTATTTCTCACGAACTTAATTTACAAGACACTAGTTATAGTAACTGCCACAATGTAGGGAATTAAATTCAAATCACAAAAATAACAAATAGTATCCGTATTAGATACGGATAAAAAGTAACCGAACATTGGCGAGTTCTGCAGGAGAACTAACGACAATGGAAGGATTTTACGAATGCAGTTTGGAAATATTACAAATACCGGCTCGTCAACTGCAATGTGGAAGGAGAAGGATATCACCATATTAAAAATCCCAGTAAGCAGTATGAATCGATGAGATGTAAGATTCTAGACCAGATGTATTTGGAATTATCAGTTGTCTCGGCAGTAGAAGAAACAAATCCTTGGCGAACTATCGGAACGTGGAACGTGAGAACTATGTTAAGTACTGGAAAGTTAGAGAATATTAAAGTTCAGGAAATGGAGATCTCAGGTCTGATGATTACCGTGTTGTTTACTTTGGAAGAGAAAAACCAGAAAGAAATGAGACCAACAAGTGATAAATAAGATAGCCTACAATGGCAGACTTGTAATGATAAAACTTAAAGCCTTACCCAGCGATATCGTAATAATTCAAGTATACTTTCTAACAACAGAAGCAGATGACAACGAGATAGAAAAAATGTATGCAGGACTCGAGTACTCTGTAAATTAGTGAAAAGAAGTGACAACTTAATAATAATAGGAGACTGGAACACTGTTGTAGGTGAAGGTGCTGACGGGAAAGAAGTAGGAGCCTATGGATTGGGCACTAGAACCGAAAAGGGAGACCGATATGTAGATTTCCGCAAACAATATGACATGGTCATAACAAACACATACCAAAACATTCATTGTAGAAAAAGATACACGTGGAAAATGCCATGGGACATTAGACGATACCAAATCGACTATGATATTGGTAAGAAAACGGTTCAGAAGTCCGTAGATGTAAATGATTCGATAAATGTAATTAGACTATATGGAATTATTATAATAATGTAGCTAATTCGAGTGATGGAAATAATATTTTACATTGGTAACCTAATTTTGTTTCAGACACACCAAACATCTTTAGCAAATCATTTTGTTTGTATAACGTATTTACACAGAATAAACAGAATGGAATCTTAGAGCTTATCAAAAAACAGTCAGACATATTGAGTTTTAGCCAGTGATGCCAAAACTCAGATGATTCCTTGTTTTTAATTTTTCTGTGACTTATGGCTACACTGTTCATATACTAAATGTCGTACGCCGACAAAAATGTCGCCATTTTCCGCGTTTGTCGAGTGAACAGTTCAGCCAAAATGAACGAAAAATGAGAATTTACCTACACCTACGCCTATTCTTAGATCATATTCAAGATGTCAGACTTGATTTTATATCGTCTTATAAGAGCCCATGTAAAAATTGGATAGTTTCCTTTCTGCTTGTTCTGTGTTATCTATAAATTATAATTGGCCGACAAAATAAAAATAGTCAAGTTTACTCATCGTTAATTATGGCATTTACCTCATACCTTTTTTTTAAAGTTGGATGAGAAATGCCTTAATTATCTATTTTTTTATAATCGATGAAACTTCTCAACAATTTTAAATCTTCAAACGGAGTTAAAGAAGCGCACAAACTCATGCTTAACGTATTTAATGTTATATTATTTGCTATTTCTGGATGGGAGCAGCTAGCAAGATTTTGGGAATTTCTAAACTATAATAGTGTAAAAACTAATTTTTAATATCGTGGAAAATAAATCATGCTTACTATGTATGGGGCTTCAATCATCATGAAGTTGACTGTTTGTATGAAATATAATGACCAAAAAATACAGTTGATTTCAATCATTTTTAAAGCGTTTTACTACGTAAGTGCAATTAGTCAAAATTAAATTATAATAATTTAGCTAAGCTATTCAAGTACTGGAAATAACCTTTTATATTGGTAACCTAATTTTGTTTCAGACACTGGCAACATCTTTAGCAAATAATTTTGTTTGTATAACGTATTTACAAATTATAAATGTCTGGTAAAATCACACATTTAGACAAAAAAACAACAGTATTTGCTTTTATACTATTAACATAAAGCATGACGTCATATTTTTGTGTTGATATACTTTAAACTGTAATAGTGTTGGAGTCTAATTGTGTAGTTGGTGAAATCAGAAAATACAAGAGAAAACCATTACGTAACACATAGATAAGATGCTCGCACAGTAGTTAGAAACATTACTATTCTATGATCATTTAATTATAATGTCATTTGAAATATTATGTAAAAACATATTAAAAAAACACTATATTATAAAAAAATATTAATTATTATTCTGTATATAGAAAAATATACAACATTTTGTAATTTTTTTTCATTCCTACGATCCGAAATGCCGAACAAATATCCAAACACATTACTGTAGTCATAACAGAAACCGCACAAGCTTGTTCTAAAAAACATAATTTTGGCATTTTACTATGGTCTATATTTTCTTCTTTAATTCGACGTAAAAACATAATAACACTCATTTAGCAAAATCATAGAAATCAAGTAGATATAACTAATATCAGTACTTGTCAAATATGCACTCGGGCTACTCGAGTTTATGAAAGACCACAAAAAGGCTCATATATCAAGAAACATTATCCGTTTTCTAATTTTGTTTGTTTAACGTTTTTACAAATTATAAATGTCTGATAAAATCTCGCACTTAGACAAAATAATAATAATAATTGATTTTATACTGTTTACTAAAAGTATGACGTCATATTTTTGTGTGTATATACTACACACTATAATAATGCTAGGGTCTAATTGTGTAGTTGGTGAGATTAGAAAATATAAGAGAAAACTATTGCCTAATACATATATAAGATGCCCACACAGCAATTGATAGGAAACATTAGTATTCTATGATCATTCTATAGTAATTTTATTTGAAATATAAAATAAAAATAAATTTCATTTTATGTTATTTTACACATTTTAAATGACATATCTAAAAAAGTACAGGTTTCTATTAATAACAGATTTCAGTGCGAAATAAATTTGTTGGAATTATCATGGAAAAAATAATTTTTTAAACTATGTTTGAAATAAAAATATACTTGTGTTTTTTGTATTGATGTAAATATCTTACAATTTTTTAGAACGATGTTCTTTATTGCGCGCCCTGCTGGGATATTATTTTTTGTGCTGGCGTGGGGAGTGACCGTAGAAAAAGCGTTACGTTTTCTTTGACGGAAGTAAATCATACGGAAAGGAATCAACAGGTGACCGGAAGTAAATATTACGGATATAACACATCACTCGTTACTCCAAAAAAGAGAGACACGTAAGGGGAGGGCTGAACATCAGCATAACAGGAAAGGTTTGCTACTCCACATGTGCCAGTTAACCAGTACCACTGTAAGACCATTGTTGGGCAGCCGACTGGCTTATTTCGACGGGGTGTGGACTTAAATTACCTACGTTCGGTCCTCTGGGGGCACAGAGGAAGATAAAAGTTTATATTTTAGCAGTCCTGCCCATTGTCCAATGTCCAGAGAAAGAGACTGCCTATCACTGATTGTGAATGATGAACCGTTGAAAGTGAGCGCACTGCCACCTTACCTAATCAGATACTTGTCCTCGTCTTTAATTAATTTATCAATACGAATATAATGAGTCGTTGTCTAATTTTAAATCATTACCATTATTTTGTTTTTAGCCTAGTATCGAATTTGTTTATTGACAAATCAATAACTTCTTCTTCTTCGGGCAAACGGCCGCTAGGACCATCCCGTCAAACACCCCTCCCTCCAGCCATCTCTGTCGGATGCTCGTTCCTTCCAATCTGATCCTCCACCTAAGGCACTTACATCTTTTTTAACCATATCTTCCCATCACATACGAGGTCTTCCTAGTGGCCTCTTTCCTGCTGGATCCTTTTCTAATATTATACGTTGCAAGGGATTCTGACTACGCCAAGCATGTCCAGCCCACTTCAGTCTTTTACTCATTATTGTCTCCAATATATTCGGCTTCTGGAAGAGCAACTAACATAACACAATCAATTAATTTAAACTAAAAAAAAACATTTGTAACAAGGAAGATCACCTAAAAAGGTGATCAAGTAGTTAAACAATATTGCCTCATTTTAAAGATATGCTAATATATTAGACTAATTCAATAACTCTAGTACGGCTAGAGTCTCAGCTATTTTCATTGTTTTAAAGGAAGAAGTAAATAGTTTTGATTGTCATTACTTTACACAATTACACGAAATTCGAGACTGCTGTAAAAAAGTTGCTTTGGAAACTATATATTTTTTAGTAAAGATATAAAATCTACTTGAACCCTAGACCATAAAAATTATACACTTCTTGCGTACACGTGTTACGACAACGATGTTGTCATATTCAGCGCTAACAACAGGTCTGTTTTTCGATAGATATTTTCAAATACATTATAGTATGTACAACTATAAGTATTTTCTAAAGCTGTATTGAGTGTTCAAAACAATATTAAGTTTAAAGTTTACTATAATAATATAAAATGTCTATGAAATAATAAAAAAATAAATAAAATGTCTTTGAACATTATTTTTTCAATAAATTAATGTAGCGAAGTGATGTTCTGCATTTAGTGTGGGGGGCAATAGTTATGACAATTTTTTTGTCTTCTAGAATAAATTGAAACTCTTTTTTATGGTTTTTAAGACCATTGGCATTCCAGGTGAGAATGGATAGCGGGGAATTTTCGTTAGTATTATACGTTATTTTTAAAGATAATTTTATTTATTACAGTCGTGAGGAGATTAATTAGTGGTGTGATAAGAGATTGGAAGTTTTCAAGAAAGGTAGACCTTTCTGACAGTTTATAGATATTACTGGTGGTGCGTGTATTGTTGATATTTTTCTGATTAGATGGCTTTGTGACTAGCTTAGATCCAGAGGAAGGCGACAAAACGGCGATTTTAATTTTCAATTAACAAACTCTTAGATCAATCGTGTTAATTAATTTAATGATTTAGGTGTATTTTTTGATACAAAAATGAATTTTAAAGAACAAATCAATAAGATAAAAAATAAAAGCATCGTCAAAATTAGGTCTCTTAAAACGGAGTTGTTTAAATTTTAATAATTATTTTGCTTTAAGAAATGTCTATTTTTCTATTGTGCGACCACAGTGAGAATATGCCGTACTTATTTGGTCTCCACGCTCCTTAATTTTAAATCAAACACTAGATTCAATTCAAAACTCTTTTTTACGTTTTTTTATCTTATAAATGCAATGTCGAAAGACTTCCTCATTCGGGTTATGAAGGAGTTTCTGGATTTTTTAATATTCCTACTTTAAGAAATCGTAGAAAATATTTAAATTTCGTTTTTCTTTTTAAATTATTAAACAATCAAATTGATTGCCATCAAAATATTAGAAAAACTAAACTTTAAAGTTAAGTCTAACTCTACGAGAAACAATGATTTGTTTATTTAAAAAAATATACGTACTAATTATAATTTATCCTCAGTTGTAAATATTTTAATGTCTAATGCAAATTCAGTAAAATTAGATTTATTTTCTTGTAGTATAAATGACATTAGGTCATTTAGTGTGTAGTTGTAAAAATGTTTTTGTTAGTTTGTAAGTTTTTCTTATACTGTTCTTTTTTGTCTATACTGCTGTAATATTATATATTGTAAATGGAATTAATTCCGTAAATAAATAAATAAAATAAAAACAAATTTAAAAAATATAGGAAAAGTGCTGGCTAAGACGCAAACATTTTTTCCCATTGCGCCATCGGCCCCTGACGCTGAGAACTTGCGCGCGTGCCAAAGTAGGTCACACGTGCGTTGTGTTGAAAAGTGATAATTCAAAACACAATAGTAGTACTAACAAAAATATGACGGATAAATGTTAAAACCACAAAGGGGGAAAAAAAAAGGTACGTTGCAAACAAGCTTGACGGATGTTTAAGTCACCAAATCTTAATAGGGACGAGCGAAGATGGAAACTGTGAAAGGGTCCATACCCTAATCTCAAAGAGGACCCCAGAAGAAAAAGACAAGAGGGAGGGGGATGTCAAACGCTCCTTATCGTCGATGTAAAGTACTTTTTAAAATATACCACCTTCAAATTTAATTGCTATAACAGTGACAACATTTTTATCGAATAATTAAAATTCAATTCTCGTTCCACAAAATATAGTCTCACATTAACGCACTATGTTTTCCCGGTAAACAGCAACTGTTACATTGTAAGAATAACATAATTAATAAAAAAATTTTCGGCTACAGCTAACGGCGTCCCCTGTTTGAATAGCTGTCAGTACGATAAATTCTAGATTTTAAGTATTTGACTTGTGCTATTACAAAAATTGTACACCATTGCAGTCGTCGAGGAATACACTATTGAAGTTTTTAACGTTGCTCATTTGCTAAAACATTTTACTCATAACAAGTAGTTTTCAATTAATACTTTATTATGATCGATTTAAAACTCGTTTTGTATTTTGTCTTTGTGATTTTCACAATCCTACGCTCGGGTAAGTCACACTGTGTGATATTAGTATTATGACAAGCACAGGTAGAACACACTTTAGTCTCTTTCATTGACAGTCCAACTATATATTTTATACATCTTACAATTTGTCGGGTTTTAGCTGCACACTGCTCGATCATAATTTGTATCCCATTTATATTTATCTCTACATCATTTAATTGGCTAAATTAAAATAACTGTAAATAATCCACTACCGGGCAACATGTATAATCGTATGGGTAGCGCACAAAAGCGGTGTGGCCAAACACAATTCATTAAACGGCCACAAGGTTTTTTTTTACAACATGTGTTATTTTTGTGTTGGTTTAGGCGTTGTAGTCAGTGGTACCAGTTCGAGTGATGATACGGAAGCGACAACAATTAATGAACCTATTAGCCTATCCCAATCCGAATTGTAC